CGTGCATAATGATGAATAAAATAGCACTCAGTCCTGAGTGATAACTGTGGTTGCCAAAACTTTTTGCTAATCTCCTCCAGGAAGAGTTCATGAGATGTTTTACCTCCTTCAATCATATATAACTCAAACATTAGAAAAATGCAACCAGCTAACAGAATCTTCCTGGGTGAAATTTCAGTTTACTTTTGGCTTGCCTTTCCTTTTATCTTTGATCAGAGAGAAGCTTTAGTAATTAAGTTTTTGCTGAGACAGATTTTTGTCCTTCGTATGTTTGCACAAAGAGTATTCCCAGTCAGCAGAAAAAAAAAGAAATCGTGTTTGTGTTTGTTTTATAGGAAAATTACACATCTCTGTTGACATTTTCCAGTGCATGTGGGTTGATCATTGTGCCCAAGAAGGACACATTTTCCTGGGGCCATGTGGGGCTCCAGCAGGCGGGAGCTGTGCTGGGCACTCTGCCTTTGCCTGGCCAAGCCATGTTAGCAGGCATACAGCTGGATAAAGGAGGCTGGAAGCACAGCACGAATCCTGCTCTGAAGCATCCCAATGTTCAGAGCAGTCAAAGGGGAAGGTGGAGGAGGGCAGTGGGTTTGATCTGGTTCAGAGGGGTACTGTAAGAGTTGTTGAGGGAAAGAAATAAAGAAAGATGCTAACTATTTACAAAGGGCCACACAAAGCGAAGCATCCAAGTGCTAAACACAACATTCATACCATTCATTTCCCACAGTATCTGGGCATCGTGCATAGCTGGTCCATAGCTGAGAGGCACATTGCACTTTCCTTCCATCCTCTGCAGTGAGGTTTGGGTCATCCAGGTTACTGGGGTGTTTCATGACCATTCAGATAAAAAAATAAATACATCTAAGTATCTCCCAGAACCACATCTGGGAACAATAAAAGGGATATTGCTCCTTTTTTCCCCCTGCATGGCAGCTGATGGAAGGAAATGAAAACTAATCAGTCTCTCCCTGCCCTGGGCTGCCATCCTCCAGCAGATACGAGCGCTCTCGTGGACCTTTGACCCCACGTCTCGCCGAAGAGACGTGCTGAACAGACTCTTATCTCGCTGCAGAGAGGGCAGATGGTGCCTGTGCCTCCCCTTCTGCCTCGGAGCCTGTGGTACTATGGCAGATTTGCTCTCTGTGCTGCCTTGCAGCAGGCTGGGGACAGCGGTGCTGTGGTGGCTTCGTGCTGGTGGGCGGCTCAGCTCCAGAACGCTGCTCTCTCGCTCCCTCTCCTCGACACTAAAAGGGGGAGAAAATAGGATGAAAAAAAGCTTGTGGGTTGAGATAAGGACAGGGAGATCACTCACCGGTTATCCTCATGGGCAAAACAGTCTCAGCATAGGGAGATTAATATAATTTACTGCCTATTGGTAACAGTCTAGAGCAATGAGAAATTAAAAACAAACTAAAAGCACCTTCACCCCATTCATCCTCCTCTCCCACCTCCTCCCAAGCAGCGCAGGGGAATGGGGACCGGGGGCTGCGGACAGTCCCTGAGGCTTCATCCTGCTTCTCCCTCACGGCCCCTCTCTGCCCCTGCTCCACGCGGGGTCCCTCCCATGGATGCCGTCCTGCCCCAACTGAGCCTGTGGGGGCTCCTCTCCACGGGTAGCAGCTCTTCAAGCACTGCTCCCACACGGCTCCATCCCACGGGGTCCATCCCCCAGGAGCAAACTGCTCCAGCACGGGTCCCCCTCAGGCAGCAGCTCCCCCCAGCCCCCTGCTCCTGCGTGGGCTCCTCTCCACAGGCTGCAGCTCCGGCCCGGGGCCTGCTCCTGCGGGGGCTCTCCATGGGCCGCAGCCTCCTCCAGGCCACATCCACCTGCTCCACCGGGGGCTCCTCCACCCATGGGGGGGCTGCAGTGTGGAGATCTGCTCCATGGGGGACCCATGGGCTGCAGGGGGACAGCCTGCTCCACCAGGGGCCTCTCCACAGGCCGCAGGGGAACTGCTGCTGCCTGCCTGGAGCACCTCCTGCCCTCCTGCTGCACTCACCTTGGGGGCTGCAGGGCTGGCTCTCTCACAACTCTCACTCCTCTTCCCCAGCTGCTGTAGTACAACATTTTTGTCCCTTAAATCTGCTCTCCCAGAGGCCCAACCAGCATTACTCGAGGCTCAGCTCTGGCCAGCAGCGGGTCCCTTTCGAGCTGGCTCTGCTCTGCCATGGGGCAGCTGCTGGGCTCTGCTCACAGAGACCACCCCTGCAGCCCCCGATACCAAACCCTTGCCACGTAAACCCAAAACAGTCACACAGCTGGGTGTGAGCCCCTCTGTGAGGACGGGTGTCCTGAGAGGATCCAAGCGCCACAGCAGTGTTGGACAGGGCTGAGACATTTCACTCTTTTCCTGGAAAAAAAGCGCGCTCACTACAGGTGGGTAACTGCTGTCTCGGAGACAGGTGGAAATAAAAGTGACAGCCACAACGTGCAGGAGCCTATCTGAGGAGCAGCAGTGGATCTGCTGTCAAACAGATTTTGTTCAGGAGTTATTTGCCGTGTTCTGCATTCAAATAGTGACAGCTGCTGGGATCTCTGAAGGAATTTAAAGGGTTTATGCTGCTTATAGTCTTGTCTGGGTGCCTTAAACGCTTATTTTACTACAAAACAGCCCTAACTTTCATTTGGTTGGCAGCTATTAGCATCACATAAAGTAGCTTTAGCCAGGGTAATGTGCTCTGAAATCCCTGTAAGGATGAGGTCTGTGCTGCAAAACTGCGTGCTGCATTGGCATCCACCTGCCTCCTTGTAAAAACCTTCAGAAAACCTTAATTATTTTATTCTGCGGACTTGCAGGCTTTTTTTTTTTTTTTTTTTTTTTTTTTTTGCGTTCAAATTCCAGGTATTGAGTAACCCCTGGTGCCAGCACTGCCTTGCACTTCGCATCTGCTGCTCTCCCCCTGTCTGTTTAATATTCACCCTGGCACCGTGATGTGTGCCTGGAAGGTCCGAGACGCGCGGCGGGGGCATCCTGCCTTAACGCACCTGCAAACCTTGGCACCGGGCGAGCAGCTGAGGAGAGAGAAACATCACGGGCCTGCACCTCCCTGGTGCTGTGTGAGAGGCTCCATATGCTCTGGTGCTCGCTGGAAGATCCAAGTTTGGCTCTGCATCAGAATTGTTCTCCCCACCCTCGAAGGCAGGTCTGTGATTAGGCTGCAAAACGCAGGGACCATCAGCGTCCCTTCCCTTCCCTTCCCTTCCCTTCCCTTCCCTTCCCTTCCCTTCCCTTCCCTTCCCTTCCCTTCCCTTCCCTTCCCTTCCCTTCCCTTCCCTTCCCTTCCCTTCCCTTCCCTTCCCTTCCCTTCCCTTCCCTTCCCTTCCCTTCCCTTCCCTTCCCCACATCCACAATTATTTTGGGACACGAGAGGTTTAAAAACATGCCGTTTTCATGACTCCTGATGCTGCACAGCCGATACATCATCTGCAGCCCCTGTCCTCCTGTGACATCTTTTTGCCTCTTTCCCTGCACGCCAACCTCAGCGGGGACGCACGCTGCCTGGCAGCAGCCGTCTGGTTCAGGCACTGGGTCCCAGTGGCTCAGACAAGCAGATGCCTCTGGTTTCATGCACCCCAGCTGCCGGTTTGGCACCCCGATCCCAGAGAGCAGGGGCAGTCTGGCAAGGGGAGATGCTGGTTTTTAGACAGTGCCCTCTTCTGTGCCAGCAGCCTGAGGCATAAGCACGATTCGGGGCCCAAGGAAGACGCGCTGACCTCAGGTTGCTGCAGGAATGATGAAAAATGCAGCATTGCAGGCCAGCGCTTGCACAAACCTGGGGATGTGGCCAGCAGCAGACAGCCTTGAATCACTCAGGGATTTCCACCTTCTGCATCCAGCAGCATGGGAAGGGGATGGAACTGGGCAGGGTGGATGCCCCAGTAATGCAGCAAACATTTCATCTCCAACAGAGTGTTGGGGCTGGGGATTTTTCTTCCTGCAAATTAGGGTTGTGGAGAGCATGGAAGATTTTTTTTCTCCTTCCTTTTGCATTCCCACACAGATGAGCAGCCCCACCACAGCAGCAGCCTGGCCAGGTTTGCTTTCCCAGGGAGCGCTGCTGGATGCAGGATTTGGGACCAGTTTGTCAGAAATGGCTCAGCAGAAGCCCACGGTGAGGGAATATCTCTCATTTCCCCCCTTCCCATTTTTGTTGCAGTGATGGGACGGAGCCTGCTCCCGGGTGCAAAGCCCTGGGAGCTGCACCCAGCCCTGCATGATGCCAGCCCCAGGAGCACTCGGTGTTACAGGAGGTGTTGCTCCCACTGATGAAGATGCTGTTTAGGCTGAGGAACATCAGCAGTGCCCAGGGGGTCTGGATAAAGGCCTCACCTGTCTTGCTTTTCCAGCTGATTAGGGAAAGTATTTGACTTGCCCAGCATGAGAAATTACACTGCGGAGAGAGCTGCAAGGCTCAGGCTCGCTGCTCGGCTGCGTGCACGGAGGAGGAGAAACAGCAAAACGCAATGAATCCGAACTGCAGCCTCTCCTCCAGTGACCAGCTTAAATTCCATGCTTGGACACAGCCCCTGCACAGGCAATAAGCTCCCATTTGTTGCCACCGTGCTGAATTGTCCCACGTGCCCAGCTCCTGATGCAAACCTGCCACGGCCCCGTCCAAAGGGACAGTGCCACCTCTTCCATCACGCTGTGCTAAAGTGCCCCTCACTGGCTTGCACCCTCATTTCTCCTTGTGAGTGACTCCACTGGCTGCATTTACACCTTTTCCAGTCCAAGAATCATTAGCAAATATCGGGCAGTTTGAAGCCCACATTGATTTCTCCTTCACTTTTTCATAGCAGTGTCGTGCCATCGAGCCAGATTCGTTACCGAGCAATGAATGCTTTGTACCACCATCCGCAATGAACCGTGTGCTGCAATCAAAGGCAGACATCAACAAGATTTATTTTAATTATATTTATTTCCTGTAGTTTTTTATTCATTGAGTCCTTTATCAGCTGTTCCACATTTTTGCCAAGGATCGGTTTCAAGCTGTAAATCAGTAACAGCATCAGCCTTATGGGTACTCAGTTCCCTCAGTTTGCCCTTTCAAAATAGCACAACTTCAGCTATCATCCAGCCTTCTGCAACTCATCTCAGGTGATACGGAAAATAACGGTGATTTAAAGAGCTTTTTGCCCACCTCTTTTAAAGCCAAAGGAGCTGGCAGCTTGGTGCCATTCAGCCAGGGATGCAGATTTTGATAGAGGCATTTTACCCCACTGCTCCCCCATGGGGCACTAATGACACCCTCACCGTCTTCCCTTTGTCTGCTGCTGTCCCCATTTGTGGGTGCAGAGAGGGATCCAAGTGGATGAGGGTGCTGTGCCCCTCCTGGACAAAGCAGCCGAAATCATTCATTCCTTTACAGAAATCACCTTGGCACTTCATCAGTTATACCTCACCGCAGTGATCGCTGGAACTAATAGCCATTAATTACCTTTGTCAGATGAAATTTCCTTAATTGCCCACAACTTTACCTCCATGAAACCACCTCTTGCAGCTGCCACTGACAGCTTAAAGGCCACATCAGTGGAAATTTTTGGGAAAAAGCTGGGTAAATTAAGGGAAGGTGAAGGCACGCGTGGCCCACCTCTGGCTGTCCTGGAGTCACCATTTGACCTGCCTGCATCGAGAAGAAAGGTCAGCAGTACGGGGTGGAGGGGGAAGGTGTTCAGCCTGCCTGTCATTTAATCCAAGGGCATGCTTTTTGTGACCTTTTCCTCTCCCTAAAAAAATACAGGAAAGAGGGTAGCAGGCCGCCTTGAGAGCTGCTGCTCCTTGAACCTTGACCAAATGCATTCAGTGTTGTGAGGAGACATTCAGCAGGCAGCGCGCGCCGCGGTTGCTCCAGCTTTCGTGCTCCCATACAGATGTTCATTGAACTGTCAGAGCGTTGAGAGGAAAATAAATTAATTGTAAGTGGAAGAAGGTTAGTTAAATCTTTTCTGGAAGTATTATATATAGCCATTAAATTGCATAGGAAATTCAATAATAATGGGTAATAATGTTCTTCTGAGAAATTAAATAGGAGCCCAATTTATAATGCGGCTCAGCATTCAAACCAGAGTGTTCCACCTTCCCCGTACACGATAAACATTTACTAATTAAGCCTCACAAAGCCTCAGCAAGGTAGATCTCTTCACACCACTGACTCCGTTTTATAAATGGGAACAAGAAGGTACAAGACACATCCTTTGAAGCTGGGGCTGCATGTCTTCAAACATGATCTGGGTCTCTGGGAGCCCACTCGGCATATGTGTTTGAATAGGCAGAGCTTTGTAAAAAGCCTCAGAGCCAGGATCAGAAGTCAAGGTTTCTTTATGCCCCTTCATATGCTCTGATCATAGCTGCACGTTTCGATGCAAATCTTCAGCACAGTCTCCGGAATACTGATATTTTTCCTGTGTGATCACATTACATTGCAGGAGTGGTATTTAGAAGAAAAGCCACTGGTCTTAAGCCTCAAGCAAGAGCTGTAGGAATCAGCCCGTAATGGAGCTGCTAATTATGTGCAGAATCAAAGGAACAAAACTTATGACCAGCTGGAAGCTGTTATTTGCAGAAGATCAGTATGGATTGTATGGGATGTGGGTTGTCAAATAGATGTGGATGTAATTTGCGCCAGGATATTGGACTATCCATGACTATAGACAAATTAGAAATATTTAGTGTCATTTTATAATCCTCTCCCATCTCCCTGTCACTGCTTAAGGCATAGCACGAATAAACACAGGTTGTAATGAGAGGGAGCTTCAACCCAGACAGCAAGCCACAGCAACAGCAGGCATCTTTCCCATTAGTTTCAGTTTGAGTTTTGTCTACTTACACGGGATATTAAGTTAAGATACAGTTTATTCTACATCCTGTTCAAGGATCCTGCATGACATAGAACTGCAGGAACCATCGAGAATCTGCAGTACTCATCCAACAGCAAATAGAAATGGGAAAGGGACACAGCCCGGCCTGAAATGGGGTTGTGTAGACATAGCATTGTGTGTTAACCTGGGCTAAAGTCCAGTGTCATGATTAATCCATGCTTCTGTGTTGAAATTTTTGCCGTGGTGCCTAACAATTAAAAAAGGAAAATACCAATGGCATAGATGGAGAGTTGTCTGATCATTTAGCGTAATACATTGGGATAAATTTTTACCCAACTCTAGCTCAAAAGTTATTTCTTCTGTTTCAGACCTCAAGAAGGTCTTGCATGCTTAAAACACGACAGTGTTTAAAAGTGCATGGATTGTATTTCAGAGCCATGTAGTTCAGACGAAATAAATAGTCCATTTTCTCCTTTCAGGCCTAGCTGAAAACTGTCATGTAGCTTCTACTACAGAGCTGAGCTGAGGGTCTGGCTGGAGAGGGAACCTTTTTTTCCAACTCACTTTTGGCTGAACAACCCTTCACACAACAGCAGTCAAGTTCCCCAAAAATACGACTTTGTGTTGGTGATGAGCTGTCCAAAGAAAGCAATGCAACCTTTATATCCCCACTAAAAGAAATTTTCTCAAGAGTTTATCACAATTTTTGATATGTCAGAGGTAATACTTAATGTAATGAAGAAATGAAATACTCTTTGTCAGTTGTAGGGAGGTTGGTCCATTGTTAGTGCAGATCAGAGACTGTTTCAGGGGAATTAGAAGATCGTTCCCATCCCACCCATCTTCATGAATTAATTAACATTAAAACTATCCTTTTACACAACAAAGCTTGTTGGATGATTTACTTGAAGTCCCTGAGAATTTGTCCACTGCCTTCAGTGAGGGTAGGATTTTACCTAATATTTCTAACAGACTTTTATAAAATAGTGTTGAAAAAGATCTCAGGGGCCTTCTCGTCTCTCCTCTTGCCTGGAGGCAGGATCAGCTACGTCTGTGTCACTCCTGATGGATGTTTGTCTAACTGGTCCTGAAAGAACTGCAAGGCCTGAGAGCACCTTGAGCTCTGCTTCCATTTTCACCTGTCTCAAGATTACAAAAGAAAAAGGTCTTTTTTTACCAACTCTACCAGATATTTGACTGATTTAAAGGACCAGTGACAATTTCAACTTCTGATGTCTCATGATCCACTAAGGATAGGAACTAATCCTATCTGCCACAAGGGAGCTTTCCCATGATTTATAGACATGTTTCCCTTTTATCTCTTCTTCTTGAGGTATCTGACATGAAATCATGTCATTCTGATTCCCATCTTGTCTTTTTCTTCACCATTTCAGTTCCAATCTGATTTCAGAGGCTGCCCCCTAAGAGGTGATAGTTAAAACTAATGCTTTTCTTTATCTGGAGGCCTGTCAGCCTTCCCCTGGCACTGTATAAAGTGCATATTTCTAGGAGTGAAATGTCAACAACCATAATTATGTTGGCAACACGGAAAGGCAGAGAGGACACAGAGCAATAGCCACCAGGCAGGACAGAAGCTTTATGGGGGAGGAAGAGGTGGGATGGGGTAAAGAAGAATTGCTTAAGTCTGGTCCTCGTGGTGGAGCACATCTATGGATTGGTTTTGCTTCCAGAATGAAACACTGCCCATCATTAATTGCCCCTTTTCTGCAGTCCAGTGTTCGAGGAAATTAAGTGGGGTCCTTGCTTTGACTTCAGGAAGACCTGAATCACACCCATAAGTAGCCAAATGCAGATCTGTATTGACACAAAATCTGGAATACGCTCCTTACATCCCCTGAAAAGACAGGAAACCTGCCCCACAGCCGCTCAAAATACATCTGTGGTTTAGAATGGCAAACACAGACACAAAGTTTAACATTTATAGGCCAGGAACACATGGTGTTTTGGGAAGTAAAGGTCTGAGACAGATGCTCACAAGTAGCAGTCAGAGAATGAGAGGTGGATTTCCCAGGCATTCTTTCTCATTCAAGTGTATACCATGCATTAAGCCTTCACAATAAATATATTAACAAAACAAAACAAAGCAAAAACAAACAAACACAGAAAGAAAGAAAGAAAAAAAGAAAAAAAAGCTTTGCTACTTGGAATCCAATAGCAAATAGCACAATCTGTTGTTGATAAAGCATGTGAGAAAGTACTTGGGAGTCTGCTTTTAACCCTTGCTGAGGACCTTTATTCATCAAGTATAGACACGTAACAATCTCCACCAGTGAAAGACAAGACAAACAGTCTGTTCGACCGAGCCATAAACATCGAGCTTCACACATAATCCCGAAACCTCCTGACATTAAGCGGTCCCAGCTATGCACGTGGGACAAAGCTGATTAATGCTCCGAGAGACCAGGCAGGAGCTGAAACCAGAGTTTCAGATGTGACCTTTTGCCAGAAGGCTGCTGTGCATTATTACTGCCACCACACAGTCCCAAAAACATCCCTGCGAAGGCAAGGGAGCGGTGGGGCACTGGAGGAAGAATGCTTCACTGCTGGCCAGAGAAACCCTCACATGCTGTTTCAAGAAAAATAGCAACTGCCTTAGAAGCAGGGATAGAGTCTGTGTAGGAACAAGGACGTACGACCCGTGGGGATGCGTCTTTAGCATCACCTCAGTATCTGTGGCTTTCAACTCCCTGGAGTTTGGTTGGTTTCACCGCGAGCTGAGAACAGCCCCCTGGGGCAGCGGGAAAGCTTTCTCTCGCTCAGTGCTGTCTAAAGAACAGGTTCCTGAAGGCATTGTTGTAGTTTTTGTTGAAAGCAGTGTAGATGAGTGGATTAAAAAAGGAATTCGAATAGCCTAGCCATAGAAAAATACTCTTCCAAATGGGTGGGATGTCGCAGGAGCAGAGCGGGTTGATGAGCTCCGTGATGAAGAAGGGGATCCAGCAGAGCACGAAGACCCCGATAAGGATGCCCACCATGAGGGCAGCTTTCCTTTCCTTCTGCTCTCTCCATGTGTCTCCGTCCGTCTGGAACGTAACAGTGGCATGCCGGACAGTGAAGACCATCTGTGGCTGCTGGGCGGCTTCCTTCACCTGCCAAACACAAACACAAGTTGAGCCATATGTGCCTCGGGCAGCCGATCCCACACAGCGGGTAGGCAACCAGACTGTGCGAGCGACGGCCAGCACTCCCGGGGCAACGCGGGCCATCTACGTCATGGTGTGACCCTCTTCTGGGCAACACAGACCCAAAAACAAAGCCCCAGGTGAAATACGTGCTGCATCACACAAAGATTTCTCTCCCCTTTAGGATCAGATCAGTAAAACAGGCGCACACCCACACACCATGCACGCAAGTCCCCTTTCTTACTCTGAATGCATGGAGTTTAAGAGTCCTTAACAGGAGAGGCAAGACAATTAAAACAGATTTCCTTCTTTCCCCCAAGAAATCTTTATGGTGCACAGTGACCGTGCTTGGGATGAACTGGCACAACCCAGGCAGGATTTGCAAGGGTGCTTTGCGTGTGTCTTTGCGGGTAGATTCACAACCTCCCCAACCCCACAGCTTCTTCCCAGGTTATCTTCCTCAGTTTTGATGGGATCCCACCCACTCACACCCCTGCACACCTCACCAAGGGGAGAATGGTGACCCCTTGCTCTCGCTCATGAGCACCAATCCCTCATTTTGTAGGGGGACCTCTGTGGATCGCCGTGCACCCATGTGCAGCCAAGGCTCTCCATCTGGCCCAAAGTTGCTTTGGCCACTCCTTGCATGCTCCCAGCTGGGAATGCGGGACTCAGAAGCCTGGGCTTGCAAGCTCTGAAGTCAACTTTCCCTTGAAAGCCTTCAGGCTTCACAGGGCTTTGGAGGGATGCTGTTTGCTTGCCATCTTGAGGTGTAAGTTTTCCCCACTGCTGCAGGGTCTCGGCAGCTCAGCTGCTCCCAGAAGTTCCCCAAAGCAAAGAGCAAGCACGGTGACCTACCTCCAGGGCTCCGGGTGTAACGGGGGTGATGGAGTTGTTCTTCCTGGACCCGATGCGAAACTTGGCTGCCTTGTAGATCTTCCAGTACACAAAAAGCACCACGCACAGGGGCAGGTAGAAGGCGCCAAATGTGGAGAAGATGGTGTAGGAGGGCTCCTGGCTGACCTGGCACTCCTCGCTGTCCTCCGAATAAGTCTCTCCCCAGCCAAAGAGCAGCGGGGCCAAGGAGATGAAGGCGGAGAGCACCCAGGTGAGGGCAATCATGATGTTGGAGATGCGGCGCCGGGTGCGCAGCGTGTACTCCAGGTGGCGAGTGATGGACCAGTAGCGGTCCAGGGCGATGGCCGTGACGTTCCAGATGCTGGCGGTGCAGCACAGGACGTCGAAGGAGATCCACACCTGACACAAGGAGCGGCCCAGCCGCCACCGCCGCCCGGACAACTCGTGCACCAGGCTCAGGGGCATGACGAGGGCCGCCACCATCACGTCGGAGATGGCCATGGAGGCCACCAGGTTGTGGGGCACCCGGTGAAACGTGCGCACCCGCAGGATGGTGGCCAGCACCAACCCGTTCCAGAGGAAAGTGGCCACCACCAGCATGGCCAGGAGGGTGAGGACCAACACGCTGAAGACGGAGAGCTGCGTCCTGCCGCCATCCGCACCGGCGGGCGATGCACTCCGGTTGCCAGCATCGTGCATGGCGGCGGCAGCAGCGAAACAAGTGGCGTTGAGCACCCTCTCCATAGCGGTCCCGGCGCTGGGAGCCTTGTTACTACCGCGGGCGCGGATCCCCGGGGACCACCCGCTCCGCGGGGCTCCCCACCGGAGTCTTCATCCCCGGGGAGGAGGAACCCGGCGGCGGCGACCAAGCACCGGCGATATCCCCCGGCCCTCTCCGTCCCCGGCAGCGGCGGGAGGAGGCTCCGCGGGTGCGGGGAGCTGCGCGGCTCCCCCCGGCGCTCCGGCGGGGCGGCGCGGAGCGGAGCGGGGCGGCGCTGGAGGCAGCCAAGGGGCGGCGGCGGCGGAGCCCGTGCGGAGGAGCTGCTGCCCCTACCGAGGGGCCGGGGCAGGTGAGTGTCCCCCCCCCCTCCCTCGCCTCCTTGCGCGGGTGCGGAGCGTTTTGGTGCTTAGTCATTTCGGGGAAAAAGGGTTTTTGATTTTTTATTTTTTTTTTTTAATTTATATCCCGCTTGGAACAGGAGGAGAGGAGAGGGGAGATGCGCCGTGCCCGGCTTTGTCCCCGCTGGGGATGCCGGGGGTGGGATTGGCCCCCTGCAGGGTGGAAGAAGGGCACAAAGTTAGCATCCGTGCAGAATTGGACCTGGGGGCTTCTCGGGGGGCGGGAGGACGTGGCGGCTCGCCTGGGCTTGCAGCTAGCGAGCCGGCTGGCGACCCTGCTTTATTTGGGGTGGGGGGAGCGTGGAGGGGGATTATTTCTTGGAGAACTTCTGCTCTGACATTTCCCAACTTGTGAGCGATCGGCAGGCCCTTCATTAGCAACAATCTCTCTTTTTGATATTGTTAGGAAGTGCCGTTTAGCATTTCACCTTTTTTTTTTTTTTTTTTTTTTTTTTTTTTTTTTTTTCTCGTGCTGCCTGTGATGAGAAGAGGGATTCAGGGCCTCGTAGTGGAAGGCAGGATTTAAGCCCACCGAGCAGCTTTGCCGGCGCTCTAGCTCCATGCAGGGATGCCAGCCAGCTCCTGCTTGCCAGCCTGGGGCTGCATTCAGGTAGGGCTGTGCCTCCTCCTTCTCCGGAGGGTCCCAGGGTAAGGGGTCTGGAGAGGTTTGGGGCAGGAGCTGGCTGTCCCTGGGAGCAGGCACGTGGCAGGGACAAGCAGGCAGGGGCTCACAGCCTGCATCGGCAGGGGCTGCATCGGTATGAGGAAACCGTGGCAATGACACTTGTGGGACTTTTAGAGAGCTGGGGGAGAAAAGCTAAAAGAAACTGATGTTCTGGGGAGCACCCGTGTGTTCGTGGTGTTCAGGGGCAAACCCAAACCGGGGCTTTCCGCTGTGTCCTCTGAACCTCTCCAGACTTTTTAATGAAAAACCAGCAAAGTAACAATAACAGGGGGTAAGCAAATGAGATGTTTCCTAGCGCTGCTCCTCCTTTCTCCATGCTACCAAGGGAAACACAAGGCAGCACATCCAAAACAGGTTCGGGGATTTGCATCAGGTGGGTGTGTGGGATTTGGCCCCACGCTGTCCCGTGCTGGCTGTGTGCGTGGCAGGGCACAGCACAGTGGGGGCACAGGCTCTGCTCCCCACCATGTGGGGCACATGTGGGGCAGCCTGATGGCCACCTTGTTTTTTGGGGGATGGGAATTTACCCGTACGGACTCATGCTGGGCTGTGACATTTGTCCTAGGGCCAGAGAACAGGACCTGGTCTGCTTTAGCTCCTAGAACAGATGTAGCCTTAGAGGCTGTAACATAATTTTGGGAGCATAGTGCCATCTTTTTGGGGGAGAGATTGTTATTTTATCTTTTGTGCACATGAATATTGGCAGTTTTTGAATGGTTAGGTTTTTTACTTGCAATGCAAAGGGCAACTGAGGTTTGCATGCTTTCATAAAAGCCTCCTGATTTAAAATTCCTGGTTTGCAAGGTGCCAAACGTCCTTGACTATCATTCAACTGATCAAAACACTTAGCAACTGCTAGCACCGAGAGGTTTTTGTTGCGTGGGCCCTTCCCAGAGAATCCTATGAAGCCCAGAATTAACAGAATTAGCCACAAATTATGGAATATGTGCTCCTGAAAAGATACTGTAATTCTTTGCTTCAGGAACAAATACACAAAAATTACATTTAAAGGGAAATGGAAATAAAATGTATTAAATCTGAAGAAGTAAAACTAGATTATGTCCTAATGAAACAAATATTTATATTTTCATTATCTTACTAACCGGACTTTAAAAAATATATATTAGCAGATTCTGGAGTTGGATGGGTCAGCTGAGTACTAATTGGAAATAGAAATTGTGGGCAAATACACACAAACACATATATATAGAATATATGTGGAAATGCAAAGTTCTTCACCTGGGAAGGAAGAACCCTGTACAACCGTACTGGCTGGGGACTAACCAGAAGGAGAAGGAGAAAATTGGTAGAAGGAGAGTTGAGTTTTTCAACCCTAAAAAGAGAAGTTTTAGGGGAGAATCATTCCGCTGTCTCCAGCTACCCCATGTGAGGGTGTAGAGAAGGTGCAGGCAGACTCTTCTTAGGGGTGTATGGAGATGGGGCATTGGATGCAAGTAGCAAGATCATAGAATCATGGAACAGCTCATATTGGAAGGGACCTTAAAGCCCATCCAGTTCCAACCCCACTGACATAGGCAGGGATGCCACCCACTAGATCAGGTTTCCCAGAACCTCATCCAACCTGGCCTTGAACACCTCCAGGGATGGGGCATCCACCTCTGTGGTCAACCTGTGCCAGTGCCTCACCACAATCTGAGTGAAGAATTTCCTCCTAACATCTAATCTAAATCTCTCCTCTCTTAGCTTAAAACAATTTCCCCTGTCCTGTCATTAACTGACTGAGTAAAAAGTCACTCTCCATCTTTTTTATAAGCCTCCTTGAAGTACTGAAAAGCTGCAATGAGGTCACCCCAGAGCCTTCTCTTCTCCAGGCTGAACAGCCCCAGCTCCCTCAGCCTTTCTTCATAGGAAAGGTGCTCCAGCCCTCTGACCAGCTTCGTGGCCCTCCTCTGGACCCTCTCTAACAGCCCCACATCCTTCTTGTGCTGGGAGTCCCAAACCTGGATGCAGAACTCCAGGTGGGGCCTCACAAGGGCAGAGCAGAGGGGGACAATCCCCTCTCTCCCCTGCTGGCCACCTCTCTGCTGATGCACCCCAGGATGCTGGTGGCCTTCTGGGCTGCAAGCACACACTGCTGGCTCATGTTGAGTTTTTTACCCACCAGAACCCCCAGGTCCTTCTCTGCAGGGCTGCTGTCAATGAGTTCTTCTCCCAGTCTGTGCTCCTGTCCAGGATTGCCCCAGCCCAGGTGCAGTACCTTGCACTTGGCCTTGCTGAACCTCATTAGGCTCACATGGGCCCACTTCTCCAGCCTGTCCAGGTCCCTGTGGATGGCATCTCTTACTTGTGGTGTATCGACTGCACCACTCAGCCTGGTGCCATCTACAAACTTGCTGAGGGAGCACTCAGTCCCACTGTTCATGTCATTGACAGAGACATTAAACACCACTGGTCCCAGGACAGACCCCTGAGGGACACCACTTGTCACCGACCTCCACCTGGACATGGAGCCATTGACCACCACTCTCTGGGAGTGACCTTCAAGCCAACTCCTTATCCACTGAATGGTCCACTCATCAAGTCCGTCTCTGTCCAATTTGGAGATCAGGATGTCATGTGGGACTGTGGCAAAGGCCCTACAGAAGTCCAAGTAGATGACATCAGTTGGTCTTCCCTTACCAACTGATGCAGTCACGCCATCATAGAAGACCACCAGTTGGCCCTGTTTTAATGAGGGTTGGATCAGGTGATCTCCAGAATTCCTTCCACCCCTAGATCATTCCACATTCTGATTCTGTAATCTTTAAGCAAGGTGACTTGATACACTGGATTCTGGAAGTGACTGCCACTTTTAAAGACCAAATGCTGTTTACATTGCACACATCAGTAAGCCCATTGATTTCCTCAGAACCACTGATATTTATAAAGTGAGTGAAAGCTTGGGGTCTGTGGCAATTTAGTTATGTTTGTGGAATGATCTCACCTATGAAACTGAGACAAGCATCTAGACTACAAAGTCAGGAATTAATAGTTACACTGCTTCCTAGATTTAGCAGTTTCCCTCCACTAGAGGCCATTAAATACTACTTGTAACAAAATACCATTTACTGGAGGTACTTTCCAGTTCAAACTATCCCACAGTAGCTGATAGTTGGAGGGTGGGAGGGAATTCCAGACATGGTCACTGCAGTGTCCCTTCCTACATACACGTCCAAGTAGTGCCTGCTCTTAGGGACAGGGTCAGTACACTTTTACTGTCAATCTGTATACAGATCTTTTGAACCTCTGCATGTAAAACTGGCAGAAAAGTGAAAGGAAATGGCCCAGGAGGTGTTTTCACTGAAAAAATGAGAACTTCGATCTACAGGACAGGTGGAGCTGCTGGGTTAGACCAGCATTAAAGGCACTTGCATACTCACTGGGTATAGACAGCATCGCTCAGAGCTCTGCTCAGCTGCCAGCCAGACTGCTCAGTAAGTGTGTATCCTGTCAGTGCAATTTCTGAAACACAGGTAGTCACCAACTCAATTTTGCTTAACATTCATCAACTCGAGCTCGGGCGTTTTACATCCAGACATGCTTTCTGAACACGCTTGCACACCACCCACTCCTTTCTTGCAGCAGCAAAACTCTCAAATACAAACACACATAAACCAGGCAAACTGTGAGGCTGTTCTCACACCCTTACAGCCATCCACACTTCTGAGTCTCACACTAGTCTTGCTAAAACCAAGATCTTCAGAGATGGGCAATGTGATGGGCAATGTGCATCACGATAGACTCTTACGGTGCCCCACTTCTGGCTTGGTTTGGATTTCAGTGTCCTGTGGTGGTAGGAATGTAGTCTGGGGAGTGGAGAGGAAGGATGCTGAACTGGAGCTTTTCATGGACACGCACCAGTTTTAATGAAACTTTCACTGCTTTCATCTCTTTTATCTCTTTGTCTAATTCATTTCATCCAACCTTCCTCAGCTCCAGTGCAGAAGCTCTAGTTGGGAAGAACACGGCGAGATTCTTTCATCTGCAGTGGTCCATGAGTTAGAGCATGCCCTTGGTTCATAGGAATGGTTCAAAGGTTAAAAGCATCCCAAAGAGGGGCAAGGAGGACCTGAGCGCCCCGCATCCCCGGAGCATTCCAGGGACTGAGCTGTTTGTCTGGCTGGGTCTCTTGTGTGGCTGGAAAACTGTTCCTCACTCAGCCTCTAACGGCAGGTCTAATTCAGTTTAGGGATGCCAGCCTTCCTTTAGGAATTATCACCATTTGTA